GTGATAATGAAATGCACACTCACCGGACGCGCATATTAAATGCGCCTTGTATGTAATTATCCTGATGCCAGGTGGTAGGAGGTCTTCCTTCTATCGGATCCGAGATGAGTTGTCCTTCTCACTAAGATACACCTGTATGGTCCTAGTGGGTGCTGTCACTCTGAATGGCCTGGGTGGTAGGTGGTGATCCATCCTAGTAGTGGGTCTGCAGGCTAGAACACTCCCCCAGGGGGCAACAAGGACACTCCCATAGTGTAGTAGGTTAAACAAAGACTTTTATTCAAAAAGGTGCATCATATAAAATGTGTACAACGTTGCAGACAGTAGTCTGTAAGAGGACTGACCAGCTGGTAGTAAACAATGGTTGCTGGAGCTCCACGTTGCTCCGGCGGCGTGACGTCACGGCGTGGTGTGGCTCCTCCTGACGCGTATCGTGCTCCAGCACGTCTTCAGAGGGGGGTCGCCCGAAGACGTGCTGGAGCACGATACGCGTCAGGAGGAGCCACACCATGCCATGACGTCACGCCGCCGGAGCAACGTGGAGCTCCAGCGGCCATTGTTTACTACCAGCTGATCAGTCCTCTTACAGACTACTGTCTGCAACGTTGTACACATTTTATATGATGCACCTTTTTGAATAAAAGTCTTTGTTTAACCTACTACACTATGGGAGTGTCCTTGTTGCCCCCTGGGGGAGTGTTCTAGCCTGCAGACCCACTACTAGGACGGATCACCACCTACCACCCAGGCCATTCGGAGTGACAGCACCCACTAGGACCATACAGGTGTATCTTAGTGAGAAGGACAACTCATCTCGGATCCGATAGAAGGAAGATCTCCTACCACCTGGCATCAGGATAATTACATACAAGGCGCATTTAATATGCGTCTCCAGTGAGTGTGCATTTCATTATCACCTCTATCCGGACAACGAAGTCACCTCAATTATCCATATTTACTTATATCTATGGGACTACTTCCTATCCTTTATTTTTTCAATTTGATTTATTTTATTGTATTTTATCCATTCACTCTAAGGAACTGGGTGTATATATATTGGTTACGAGCGCTGCACTTGTTACATACAATGTCTTTTCCATAAGTTATTGGTACCTATTTCTGTGCGTAGCAGCTTGTCTATTTATACTAAGGTGCTTTCTACTACTCTTTGTACAGTACTCACAGTTAACTTTAGACCTTCTTTGATCTTCCTGGAGCTGATTGTTGGCTGAGTCCTTGCCATTTTGGCTATTCTTCTATCCATTCGAATGGTAGTTTTTCGCTTTCTTCCACAGCTTTCAGGTTTTGGTTGCCATTTTAAAGCATTTGTGATCATTTTAGCTGAGCAGCCTATCATTTTCTGCACTTCTTTATATGTTTTCCCCTCTCCAATCAACTTTTTAATCAAGATACGCTGTTCTTCTGAACAATGTCTGAAACGACCCATTTTCCTCAGAATTTCAGAGAGAAATGCACTGTAACCAGCATGTACAACATTTGCTGCCTTCCTTCCTTAATAAGGGCAATAATTGCCACCTGTTTTCAAAGAATGAATGACCTCACTAATAGAACTCCACACTGCTATTATTTTGAACATGCCCCTTTCAATTAGTGATTCAATTACACAGAATCAGCAGCATGCATGTCATGACTGTTGGGTCTGTTGGATTTCTATTACTCTACTACACCTGCTAGTAAATTATTTGCCACGTAGAAATAACATTTCTACCAAAAACAGTGATTGATCAGGTTAGTGATGTCTGACTGCTATTATTTTGAACACAACTGTATATATATATATATATATATACAGTTGCAAGAAAAAGTATGTGAACCCCTTGGGATTACGTGGAGTTTTGCATGAATTGGGCATAAAATGTGCTCTGAACGTCATCTAAGTCACAACAATAGAAGAACACAGTCTGCTGAACATAATACTACACAAACATTAGATGTTGCCATGGTTTAATTGCACATAACATGTAAACATTCACAGTGCAGGGAGGAAAAAGTATGTGAACCTTTGGACTTAATAACTGGTTGACCCTCCTTTGGCAGCAATAACCTCAACCAAACGTTTCCTGTAGTTGCAGATCAGACCTGCACAATGATCTGGAGTCATTTTGGACCACTCCTCTTCACAAAACTGTTTCAGTGTAGCAATATTCTTGGGATATCTGGTGTGAATCGCTCTCTTAAGGTCATGCCACAGCATTTCAATGGGGTTGAGGTCAGGACTCTGACTGGGCCACTCCAGAAGGCGTATTCTGTGCTGTTGCAGCCATTGGTTTGTTGAATTACTTGTATGCTTTGGGTCATTGTCCTGTTGCATCACCCATCCTCTGCGGAGCTTCAGTTGGCGGACAGATGGTTGTACGTTTTTCTGCAAAATGTCTTGATAAACTCTGGAATTCATTTTCCCATAAAATGACAACAATCCGTCCAGGCCCTGAGGCAGCAAAGCAGCCCCAAACCATGATGCTCCCTCCACCATGTCTCACAGTGGGGATGAGGTTTTGATGTTGGTGTGCTGTGCCTTTTTTTCTCCACACATAGTATTGTGTGTTCTTCCCAAACAACTCAATCTTGGTTTCATCTGTCCACAGTATATTTTGCCAGTAGTGCTGTGGAACATCCAGGTGCTCTTTTGCAAATTTCAAACGTGCTGCAATCTTCTTTTTGGACAGCAATGGCTTCCTCCGTGGTGTCCTCCCATGTATTCCATTCTTGTTTAATGTTTTCCTTATTGTAGATGTGTCAACAAAAATGTTAGCATGTGCCAGAGATTTCTGTAGGTCTTTAGCTGACACTCTGGGATTCTTCTTTACCTCATGCAGCATTCTGCGCTGTGCTCTTGCAGTCATTTTTACAGGACGACCACGCCTAGGGAGAGTAGCAACAGTGCTAAACTTTCTCCATTTGTAGACCGTCTGTCTTACCGTGGACACATGAACATCAAGGCTTTTGGAGATACTTTTGTAACCCTTTACAGCTTCATGCAAATCAACAATTCTTGATCGTAGGTCTTCTGAGAGCCCTTTTCTGCGAGGCATGGTTCACATCAGACAGTGCTTCTTGAAACCAGTAAACCCAAAACAGCTGTCAGCAACACATCCAATATCATCACACTGATTGGAGTCAAGGTTGGCTCACTCCTGGCTCCAATTAGCTCTGGGAGAAGTCATTAAGCTAGGGCCTCACATACTTTTTCCTCCCTGCACTGTGAATGTTTACATGTTATGTGCAATTAAACCATGGCAACATCTAATGTTTGTGTAGTATTATGTTCAGCAGACTGTGTTCTTCTATTGTTGTGACTTAGATGACATTCAGAGCACATTTTATGCCCAATTCATGCAAAACTCCACGTAATCCCAAGGGGTTCACATACTTTTTCTTGCAACTGTATATATATATATATATATATAACAAAACTTCTGCTTCAGCAAAAAGCAAATAATCCATTAAAATGCATGTTATAGAAAGCCTTATGAAAGGACTAATTCTTTCTAGATCTAAACATGTAAACTGATCTTTCTAGATCTAAACATGTAAATTGCATAAATCCATTGATGAATATCTTACTTTGTAGTTATGCAGGTTGTACATAAATAAAAAAAACATAACCAACAAAAAAGATTCCATGCAAAGGCCCATCAAGGAGAAAAAGTAATCTTCATACACTGCAAAATGAATAATTCTCTGGATTATGTACTCCTATCATACAGCTTGGCAATTAAACTAGTATTGCTTTACTCTGGCCTTCCAAACCCCTCTTGTATAGCTAGAAATAATTTGGCTGAAGTTCCCTAAATGCAAGATGGGATCTGTCTACTATCTCAATTGATTTAGTACCCAAAATAATAGAACTGAATGCATTTGTGGCAATATGTAAGTATGATCTACATGCTTTAACTTTACTGCCACTTCCTACACTTAATGTTTCTTCATATGGAGCTTTTAGATCTAGACATATCTGAAGGGAAATAATATTGATATTTAGCTTAATTACTGCACAGATCTTAGTCATATCTGCAAGTATAGACATTTGTTCTATCTAGCCATTGTGCTCAATCATTAATAAAATAAAAAAAATGGCCAAACCCCTGTAGATATGAGATCAGAGACCCTATTTACAACTTTTGTCCATTCTGAACGTGTTCATCTGGTAACAACTATCTGTCATCTAATGACACATATCAATCAACCTGAACATGTTTTGGCAATTTGTAGTAGTCAAATGTTTAAAAATATATTTTTTAATTACAAGTTACATTCAAGTCAAATGTAAAATTAAACCTTGAGGTGCATGCAGGGAACATAACCTGGTCATTACCTCCATTTTTTACCCAGGTATAGCTGTTGTGCACCAGTCCACCCCAGGTAATCTGGTGATCTGAGAACCCCTACTAGTGATGCAGGAGAGCCATATACACCCACTATGGTATCCTTGCTGCCCCTCACATTCAGAAAACCAGATGTAAAAATAACAGACCGCCAGCTCTAGGAAATTTTCACAGCCACCAACCAGATTCTCACCTGCCTTTTAACTTGTTTAGCGATACATGAATTAAAGGGTCAGAGGAAGGTACACATCAATAATTTCAGGTAATACACTCTGTGACCTTCAGAGGTATTCTCAGGATGATTGGTGTAGTGTATTTCACCAGGATACATTTAGTGAACTGATTCAGTTGACTTGTCACCTAGACTTGCTCTTCAATTGTTATGGGTTAGGGTATTATTATTATTATTATTATTATTATACAGTATTTATATAGTGCTAAAAGGTTTGCTCAGCGCTGTAAATTATAGTGGGGTACATCAGTATGTCTTCATGTGTCCCACTGTATCAGTAAATGGTCATCATCTGACTCTTCAGCAGACTTCACATGAAGATTAATTACAGGTCTATATTTAGTTTCAAGTCTTATTTATAACCAAGATTCAATTGTTCAACATTGGCCAGCACTTTACAAATGAGTCTCACTCCCAAACAGGTGGACTGAAAGGAGCTACCATTGTGGATGCTCTGGACACACTTTTTATTATGGATTTGAAGGAAGAATTTGAGCATGCCGAAAATTGGATTGGAAGCAGCCTAGATCTGAATGTGGTAAGAAGATTTCCATGACTTCGTTTGAGTATCATGTTTTTCAAGAGTATCAAGCAAGTTCAAAATTGAAGGGGGGATTTTTTTCTAACTAAGTTGGTCAATCAAGAAAAGTTGGTATAGTTTCCACATTTTGTCATGTTACAACCAAAAACATAAATGTATTTTATTGGGATTTTATGTAATAGACCAATACAAAGTGGCACATAATTGTGAAGTGGAAGGAAAATGATAAATGGTTTTAAAAACGTTTTACAAATAAATATCTGAAAAGTGTGGTGTGAATTTATATTCAGCCCCTTTTACTTTGATACCCCTAACTAAAATCTAGTGGAACCAATTGCCTTCATAAGTCGCCTAATTAGTAAATAGAGTCCACCTGTGTGTAATTTAATCTCAGTATAAGCCCCCGGTCACATCAGGGGCAATTTGGCATGTGATTTGCATGCCAGGTGACTTGCAAATCGTATGCCAAGTCACACCCTATTGTCCGCTATTAGAGCAGTCATATCGGTGCATTTCCGACTTGTTGCACTACTTTTGTTGCGACTTGCATAGACATCTATTTCGTATGTCTTGCAAATTGCAATGAAATCGGCAGGTTGCCCAATTTTGAAATCGTGAGACTTCACTGTAAGTCGCACGATTTCAAAATCGGCTTTGATATAACTGGGGTGTAAATACAGTAGGTTTGTTAGAGAACATTAGTGAACAAACAGCATCATGAAGGCCAAGGAACACACCAGACAGGTCAGGGATAAAATTGTGGAGAAGTTTAAAGCAGAGTTAGGTTATAAAAAAAATTCCAAGCTTTGAACATCTCAGTAAGCACTGTTCAATCCATTATCCGAAAATGGAAAGAATATGACACAACTGCAAATCTACCAAGACATGGCCATCCACCTAAAGTGACAGGCCGGGCAAGGAAAGCATTAATCAGAGAAGCAGCCAAGAGGCTCATGGTAACTGTGGAGGAGCTGCAGAGATCCACAGCTCAAGTGTGGGAATCTGTCCATAGAAAAACTATTAGTCGTGCACTCCACAAATCTAATCTTTATGCAAGAGAGGCAAGAAGAAAGCCATTGTTGAAAGAAAGCCATAAGAAGTCCCGTTTGCAGTTTGTCAGAAGCCATGTGGGGGACACGGCAAACATGTGGAAGAAAGTGCTCTGGTCAGATGAGGCCAAAATTCAACTTTTTGGCCTAAAAGCAAAATGCTGCACATCACCCTGAACACACCTTCCCCACTGTGAAACATGGTGGTGGCAGCATCATGTTGTGGGGATGCTTTTCTTTAGTAGGGACAGGGAAGCTGGTCAGAGTTGATGGGAAGATGGTTGGAGCCAAATACAGGACAATCTTAGAAGAAAACCTGTTAGAGTCTGCAAAAAACTTGAGACTGGGGCAGAGGTTCACCTTCCAGCAGGACAACAACCCTAAACATACAGCCAGAGATCAATAGAATGGTTTAGATCAAAGCATATCCATGTGTTAGAATGGCACTGTCAAAGTCCAGACCTAAATCCAATTGGGAATCTATGGCAAGACTTGAAAATTGCTGTTCACAGATGCTCTCCATCCAATCTAAGCTTGAGCGATTTTGCAAAGAAGAATAGGTAAACATTTCACTCTCTAGATGTGCAAAGCTGATAGAGACATCCCCAAAAAGACTTTCATCTGTAATTGCACTGAAAGGTGGTTCTACAAAGTATTGCCTCGGGGGGCGAATACAAATGCATGCCACACTTTTCAGATATTTATTTGTAAGCAATTTTGAAAAACATTTATAATTTTCCTTCCACTTCACAATTATGTGTAACTTTGTGTTGGTCTATCACATAAAATTCCAATAAAATACATTTATATTTTTGGTTGTAACATGACAAAATGTGTAAAATTTCAAGGGGTGTGAATACTTTTTCAAGGCACTGTATCCAGAGCAATTGATTTCCACACTGTGAATCCATTCACGTACCCCTAACATGCCATTGTTATATGGGGGAAATTTTGACATGTGGCTTATGGTGAAGATTAAACCCCACATCACAAGGCCAAACTTCCTTTATCCCAGCTGTATGCTAGGGGTGGGCAGGGGTCAGGACAATGCTGACCGAGGGCTTCTGGTGTCTCAGACTTGCTAGTCTGCTGGAACACATATTTCCAAATGCTGACAGGTACATAGTGTTATTTTATAGGTATGGTTATCCTTTAATGATGCAAATGGTAATATCAAGTAATATCAAGTAGAGGGCACACAGGCCTAGTGCATTACCATAAAAATGTTTAATAAGAAATAAAGTAGGTGTTGTACTCACAAACAACAATAAAGTCAAGGCACATCATAAAAGAACAGCAGGGTCAACACCACGCTGAGTAACAGTCCGCAATAGGGAGTGTAGACATCCAATAGGCTGACGCGTTTCGAGGACTTGCTTCTTCCTCAGAGCCAGAGTCCTCGAAACTCGTCAGCCTATTAGATGTCTACACTCCCTATTGCGGACTGTTACTCAGCACGGTGTTGACCCAGCTGTTTTTTTTATGATGTGCCTTGACTTTATTGTCGTTTTTGAGTACAACACCTACTTTATTTTCTTATTAAACATTTTTTTTATGGTAATGCACTAGGCTGTGCGCCCTCTGTTTATTCTTTCCTCATTCAGTATATTTGGATTCCCCCGGTCTATTTGAGGGCAGCAAGGTGTGCATGTTCCAGGACATTCTTAATGGGGTTGTAGCCTGCATCGAGTCCATCCCCAAGCGCAGGAGCATTTGTGTTTGCTGGTTCTAAGTAATATCAAGTGTCAGAAGGGGACCTGGGAACTTTAGCTCTTTTATGACAGTGGCAGTTTTCTGTGGGCCAGTGAAATGCACAGTACACCAGCGTGCCAAGATGGTTATTGTCTTAAGGGACATGATTTTTTTTGTATATAGTTGCTATATATTCAAAAAGGGTATTGGAAAACACGAATTGTAAACAATGAAGTACTTTAGGAGCAACATAATGACTGTTGCTCAGTGAAAATGAAACAGATTTACATAAAAAATACCATACAATTGTCACAAATAATGTGTCACTGACTGCAGTTCTTGCTCTAATTGAAATTTGAATTGGGGAATATCTCCATTCAAGGCTACCAGCCCAACATATCTTATTTGTACTGGCCCAGGGGGGCAAATGCTTTTTTGTCCCCTTCCAGTTCCCCTCTTCTGTTCATTGTAAGGGCCGGTTCACACTATGCCCTGATATGAATCGCACAAGAACGCCCTGTGCGATTCATATGCGGGTCAATGCAGTGCAATTTCATGCCCATTCATTTGAATGGAATGAAATCACACTGCACCATGCTAAAAATAGTGTATGCACTACTTTTTTTAAACGCACGGCTACCGCATCCCATGTTACTTTGTACCATGCAGTTTGGTGAAGGAAACAGCATGCATTTGCAACCTGCGTTCGAGGTGTCGTTAACTTTAACTGACCCACGCAGCAGACTGCAAGGGCATTGCGATTGGAACACGGTGCGGGAATCCACATGGGAGCACGGCTCTCCCGCACCAAATTTCAGTGTAAACGAGCACTTAATCTGAGCAAGCATTGAGGAAAAGGTGATATATGGATTCATTGGATACCATACATACGTATTGTTCTTTGAATTGTTTTGTTAAATAAACAAGCTAAAGTAATGTCAGTATTGCAGAATATTTTTTTATTATTATACACTTTTGAACCATTTGCATAAATGAATCTTTACGCTGAAACAAGTTCATTAGTAAACACTATTTGGTTAATTTTCTAGTGAAATAGGCTGTTCATTTAGCTAAGTGAATTTTCATTTTGCAAGAGAATTTTCCTTTAGTTTAGCAAATAACGTCACACGTTTGTGACTTCCATCATCTAATTAAGTGCAAGCAAAAATACTGTTTGTTTCATTGCTTGTGATTGGCTATATTTTGCAAAATGAATGAGTAACCAACTCTATTAGTTTACAATATACATATATTTTAATTATTAGAATGGAGAGGCCTCTTTGTTTGAAGTTAACATTCGTTACATTGGAGGACTGCTCTCTGCTTACTACCTGTCAGGGAAAGAGGTAAGTGTAAAAATCTGTATGTTTATGTAATGATTTCTATCCATGTAATTAACAATCACAACTGATACTTCCAGTGCTTATTACTAAAAAGGGCACAGGGACGATATCAAGATAGATTTGCCAAATAATTATACAGTGCTTTTAGGTGGATTACAGCTAAGTGCAGCATCTTGCACTTTAATAATTATTCACTTAGAAATTAGAGAATTTTGTATGCTCCTGATTTTGCCCCCAAGCTTCAAAGACTATACACTAATTGCACAGACCACATTGAATTACCACCATCTATGTATTACTTGCATATTGTCTTAATTCCCAAGCCGAGGAAAGACCTGTTAAGTTGCACATCGTACAAACCTAATTTCTTGCTAAACTATGATGTTAAGATTCTGTAAAAAAAATACTAACTACTAGGTTGATGTGGGTCCTTCCCCTTCAGATGGAATGAGATATTGTATAAATCTCCAACAGCTCAGGTAAAGTTAGGGGAGAACGTCTCCTCTTCATTTCTGGTGGAGAGGGGCATTAGGCAGGGGTGTAATTGTATCACCAGCCCTGTTTGCTTGAATGATGGAGCCCAGTGCCATGAACCTTAGATGTTCTGCTTTGGTGGCAGAGATTAAAGTTTGACCACAAGAAAAAAAACTTGCAATATATGCTGATGATCTTATCCTCTTACTTTGGGACCTAAAGAAAAGAGTCCCTTCATATCCTTTCAAGACTTTTGGATTATTCCGGGTTGCAGTCAATTGGGATAAAAAAAAATTAAGGGAGTTCTAAATTTACAAGCAAACATGCCATTTAAACAGTATACAACAGATGTTTGAGAAACTCCAAATGGAATTCACTGATAAAATGCAAGACAGTCAAAGTAACTAGAGATGAGCGAATCGAACTTGGCGAAGTGGAATTCGTTTCGAATATTAGGAAAAATTCAATTCGCACCGAATCCGAAAATTAGCAAACTTCGGATGCACGAATCAAATTTTTCCCGATCGGCCGATTTTCATCCCTTCTACAGCCGGCAAAAAGTGTCCCTGCAGAGAGCTCCCGCTATTTCTGACAGTTCTCTGACAGTTCCTTCACATTTACAGCGGTTGAAACATTGTATCTATTTGTTTCCATTTAGGATACAGATGTTTTTTCTTCATTCGGAAACAAATAGATATAATGTTTCAAACCGCTGTAAATGTGAAGGAACTGTCAGAGAACTGTCAGAAATAGCGGAGCTCTCTGCAGATACACTTTTTTCTTCTTTTCATTCTGTACTGGAATTCTTCTTCTTTTCATTCTTCTTCTTCTTTTCATTCTTCTTCTTCTTCTTTTCATTCTTCTTCTTCTTCTTTCATTCTTCTTCTTCTCCTTCTTTTCATTCTTCTTCTTCATTCTTCTTTTCATTCTTCTTCTTCTTTTCATTCTTCTTTTCATTTCTTCTTCTTCTTCTTCTTCATTCTTCTTCTTCTTCTTCTTCTTCTTCATTCTTCTTCTTCTTTTCATTCTTCTTTTCATTCTTCTTCATTCTTCTTCTTCTTCTTTTCTTCTTTTCATTCTTCTTCTTTTCTTCTTCTTCTTTTCATTCTTCTTTTCATTCTTCTTCTTCTTCTTTTCATTCTTCTTCTTCTTCTTTTCATTCTTCTTTTCATTTCTTCTTTTCATTCTTCTTCTTCTTCTTCTTTTCATTCTTCTTCTTCTTCTTTCTTTTCATTCTTCTTTTCATTCCTTCTTCTTTTTCATTTTCTTCTTCTTTTCATTCTTCTTCTTCTTCTTCTTCTTCTTCTTCTTCTTCTTCTTTTCATTCTTCTTTTCATTCTTCTTCTTCATTCTTCTTCTTCTTCTTTTCATTCTTCTTCTTCTTCTTTTTCATTCTTCTTCTTCTTCTTTTCATTCTTCTTTCTTCTTCTTCTTCTTCTTCTTCGTTCACACTTCTTCATTCTTTATGACTTTTCATTCTTTCTTCTTTTATTATTCTTCTTTTTCATTCTTCTGTCTTTTCATTCTTCTTCTTCTTCTTTTCATTATTATTCTTTCTTTTCATTCTTCTTCTTCTTTTATTTTCTTATTCTTCTTTTCATTCTTCTTTTTATGATTCTTCTTCATTTCTTGGATTATCTTTTCATTCTTCTTCTTTTATTTCATTCTTCTTCTTCTTTACTTCTTCATTCATTCTTCTTCTTCTTCTTTTTGAGATTCATTTCTTCTTTTCATTCTTCTTCTTCTTTTCATTCTTCTTTTCATTCTTCTTCTTCGTGCCCCGTGACTGCCCAAATGAGTGAAGTGTGCGGTGATTCTAAGATCGATCGGCACTCATCTGCATGTCATACTGACTGACAGTATTATTTCTCTTCCCCAGCAGACTCCAAGGGCATTTAAATTAAAGGTACAGTGTTCTGCACTAATATAAAGGCTCTCTGAAGCCTAGAAACCCTTTTAATAAGTTAAATTCGCAGCGAATAAATTCGCATCGAATCGAATTTATTCCGCAAATTCGGCGAATCAGCCGAATCGAATTTTTGAATAATTCGCTCATCTCTAAAAGTAACCTCCAGTTAAACAGTCAATTCAGCCAAGGCACTCAAAGCTTTCAACAGACTGCTATACACACTTCTTTAAATTTCTTTCTTTTCATTTTATGATTACATAAACAACATAACAAGCTATATCCTTGTTTTAAATGTATTGTTTGATTTGCTGGAGTTTTTTTTTTCATTTATTGATTTGCTTTTTATATCTACTTTGAGACTATAAAGCAAGCCTGCATAGACTTATTTAGTAATCAGATGACATTTCATATAATCCATTTTCATATATTATTTAAGCAATTTGTTCTGATTTTAGAGATGTTTGTATCATTTTAATGCAGTGCTACAGTTATGTGACTGTATTCATTGTTACACTCACTCATATCTAATCCTCTATTACCCACATGTGAAAGGTGCTTTCTGCACCCCCACCTGATCTGATAAATTGTAAATTCAATTAACGAGGATTGTGTGTTTTAGTTCCACCAAAGGGTGAAGGACCATTAAAAATTGTCACATATGATATTAAACCAGGCATGATAATCTCAAATGAAATTAAGTGTCAGTCAGAGCAGGACTACCCTCTAATAGCTCTTATAAAGGTGCTAACAGGCATAAAGATTACCTTAGACCAATTCTGCTCTTTACGGGTAACAATTGTATGTCTTTATGTATTCCCTGACCTTTCCAGGCATTCTCTGGTCAAGCCTCCTCAGGGAAAGAATTTAGCATCTATACATAATAGGGCTTCAGTAAAGAAAATGGGTCCTGCTTGTCTAAATTAATTCTATTCTTGAACGACTATTTTTAATAGCAGCATGAGGCTTTTATATTACTTTTAAAAGGAAAGTCATTGGCAATGAATTGGCAACCGTGTTTATTTCTTTGCCGTTTATGTTATGCATATTTATAAATACCACGACATAAAAAGACAGATTTAAACTAGAAGTCATCTGTTTAATAATCTAGTGGCGGAAATCAATGCTATTTTTGTACACACTTCCCAAGTAACTTCTTAACACAGCTGATTGCAGAGAATACATGTGATCATGAAATGTTAATCACAAAAACCTCAAGAGAAATGTCTCAAATGACTAATTCACAAACTAGAAATTAAATTAATCAAAGTCTGAATGGTGAAAATCATGTTCTGCATTATGTGCATACAAGTTACTATGATGTATTTTTGTTTGACTAAACTGTTTAATTTTAGAATGAAAAAAGCGCAATTTCAATACAATTTAATTTGTAGATTGATGCTAAAGAGTTTTTATTTCTTTCTTCATTTATATGATAAGGCAGGCTTTTGTTGAAAGATTAATATAAAAGAATAAAATCAAAGAAAACCCATTAGGTATTGGAGAGACACATATAAGGAGCATAGAAAATAGTAGACTGTGGCAAATTTGTAAGGACATAATAAAAGCTTCCCAGAGTGCAATAGCATTGTAAAATTCCATTGTACAAAGGAGAAAACCAAACAAGCAAGCTTACAATGTATGTCCCCATCTTGTCTGAAATGAGATGTGTAGTAGATGTGTGGGTAGGTGCAGCATAGTGCAGCGGTAGTGAACACACAGAGTCTCAGTAGACTTGAAAGTTGCATTGAGCAGAATGCCAGCATTACAAATGCCCTAGCAGGAGAGTGCCGCTTAGGGAAATAACTCACAGTTCAATGCAGTCAAAGATGTGGCTGAAGATTGATGCCGACAGCGTCTGTTTCAGAGGATGACGTGCAGCCTGGCTGGTCCATTCCCAAGAAGGGAGGCTCCTTTCCAGGATAGCAAATCCCTACCCTGAAATCTTCCACTACCGCTAGTTATTGTTCCTAACAAGCGAGGTCTTTCTCCCTACACTAACCACTCACAACATGCACGTCAAAATCTGGGGGCAGGGACCTAAATAGTGTTACCAGTGTGCATAAACACTATATTCGTAAGCTGACTAGTGTACAATAAATTTATCCTGAGTAGGCACAGCACCAGAGCCATATAAGAATCCAGAGTAGTGCAAATACTTCAAAACGCTTAAGCACCTGATCTTGAATAGAGATCTTTGAAAAGTCATATCTTGATGAAAGGACAAATCTCTCACCAACCATCAGTCTTTGTAAGATACAATATCTGCCTATCTATAAGCAGAGAAGCCCAAAGGAGTGTCAAAGGTTGAACATGCTCTTAGACACAGCAGTTCTCCAGGTATTATGACACACTGGTGTCTTCGTGAAATTATTTTGTAGACTTTTGTTAATTGTGAACCTTCCTTTCAGTTAGATTAATCACTTGCCGTCTGCCTACTGTTTTTAAACGGCAGGACGGTGGCACTGCAGGGGCAGGTTGCCGTTCATAAACGGCACCCGCTATTTCTAGTTGTGCGCACTCCCTGGGAGCGCGCAGCACCGCGATCCAGTGCCCGCTGTGTCCTCCGGACACAGTGAAACACCGATCGTCGGACGGGACCTCTGTACGAGGTCCCGATCATGTGATCACTGATTGGCCAATCAGTGATCACGTGCAAAGTAGTAAGCAAGATGTCACTTGTGACATCATTGCTTACTACGTGTGAAATCTGTGAATGATCACAGAGGTCACATGCTATTCACAACAGCCTTGTACCATGTGACAAGCTCTGACCACACAGTATTTCTCAATGGCTGCAAGAATGCAGACAGAGAGAAAGAGAAATGATTGCTTTTACATCCTATATGGGTGTAAAAGCAATCACTGTAAAGAAAAAAAAAAAAATCTTCATCATCCCCCACAAGTAGTACAGTGTCACCATGGTGACACTGTACTGCTAGGGTGACAGTATTTTTTAAAAAAAAAACATAAATAATAATATAAACAAATAAAATAAAAATGTAAATTAAATGTTTAAAAATTATAATTTTTTTGGTTATAAACTAATTTGGCGTATTTTTTTTTTTTACTAAAAATATGACGGAATACATTTTGGACAAGATTTAAGATGAAATATTATTTATTTGCAAAATTGTATAAGAAAAACACTTAATTCAAAATTTTTGGACATTTCCATTTACATAGCAAAAAAAATTAAAATCCCAGCGGTGAATAAATACCACCAAAATAAAGCTTTATCTGTCTCAAAAAAATGGTAAAAAATTCATATGGGTACAGTGTTCCATGACCGCGCAATTGCCATTCAAAGTGTGATAGCGCTGAAAGCTGAAAATTGGCCTGGGCAGGAAGGAGGTAAAAGTGTCTGGACAGGAAGTGGTTAACAACCTTTTTGGGGTTGATTTACTAATGGCAAGGCTGTTCAATTTACTAGAAAAGAACATTTTCCGCAGAGCTTAGGGTTTGGTGAAGTTTTGCTTCACAAAGAATACCCAACCACATGCAAGGAAAAACAGCTTTTTTGGTTGGACATGATTGCTTGATTGAAGTCAGCAGAGCTCTGGGGTAAATTCCCTTGCAAAGTGAACAGCTAATTTGCCTTAATAAATCAACTTATTTAATTAAATGCAGGAGATATTGTATTCTTTTGTTAACATATTAAAACTAAAAGGTAAGCATATCTTGCATATCACATAAGTAAGTTATAAGGATGCTTTGTTTGTACTACATGTGTTATGTGCTGAATGATAAATAGAGAGGAAACACTAGGCGCCTCAATATGACATAACCAATGAGCATGATCGTGGGAAATAATCACAAGCAATAAATCTCAATATTAATAGCATATGGGGAGTTCAGGCATATTTAAAAACATCATTAAGTCCAAACCCTTTTAAAGAAGGCACACCATGCTTAATTTAAAAATCAAAAGAGGTGTTGGTAAGGCACATCTACATTGGCAATCTCAGGGTACTTTCCATACATTGGTACACATCTGCATTGGCAATCTCAGGGTACTTTCCATACATTGGTACACATCTTCATTGGCAATCTCGGGGTACTTTCCATACATTGGTACACATCTACATTGGCAATCTCGGGGTACTTTCCATACATTGGTACACATCTACATTGGCAATCTCGGGGTACTTTCCATACATTGGTACACATCTACATTGGCAATCTCGGGGTACTTTCCATACATTTCCATACATTGGTACACATCATACACATTGGCAATCTCGGGGTACTTTCCATACATTGGTACACATCTACATTGGCAATCTCGGGGTACTTTCCATACATTGGTACACATCTACATTGGCACTTTCCATTGGTACACATCTACATTGGCAATCTCGGGGTACTTTCCATACATTGGTACACATCTACATTGGCAATCTCAGGGTACTTTCCATACATTGGTACACATCTACATTGGCAATCACAGAGTACTTTCTATACCCTGTTATGCATGTTTCCAGCATTTTGGGTTAAAAGATGTTTAGGCACAAAGACTGAAGTTAGGTATGTGTCAGAAAGGAAGGTTGTTCTTCCTTCAGCAGGGAAAATCATTATGCAATATTAAATTTGGCCACTAAACAGAGTCCAAAATAAATTTACTGTTTTACAGAAACTAGAGATTGTTTAGCCTTGGTAAAAAAAACCTCCTTCATTCTGGGAAAGGAAAGTAGGTATTTCCTGGGAGCTCAGATTCCATTTTAAGAACTGAGTGAAAGGAACCAGCCATAATTCTCTGCAGCACATGTTGTGGACTGAACTTACATCCCCTACAGGCAGCATCACTGAAGAGCATGGACGTATTGCCAACCACAGCTTAATAATTTCATTGTGTTTGTTTATTTAATATATTGATTATATGTATTTCTTATCTGTTTTTCCTAATAGTTTCACTCCACCCTGTTTTGTTAAGAAAGCTTCAAGATTACATTCAGTCTGGCTTATTGCAGAATAGGAGGGTTTAGCTGCATGTCGAGTTACACACAGGGAAACGTGATGTGAGGACAGAACAAAGGCTATATCACTTGCAGGTTTTCTAGGTAACAAAGTATGTGGCTATGCCCTTGCATTACACTGGTAAATCTAGAGTAGATTGTACAATTAGAGTGTGATGTGTGTTTCCCAGACCCTCAGAGGAAAGTACAAGATGGTTCAAGATATGTATGTTAGTGTAAAACTACAATATCCTGAAATTTTAACTGCATCATGATTGTATTCATACTAACTAGTGTCTATGGTTTGTTTTCAGGTTTTCAGAGAAAAAGCAATAGGTCTTGGGAAGAAACTGTTACCAGCATTTAGCACACCTACTGGGATTCCACGTGGTATTATCAACCTTGGAAAGTAAGAATGATTTGTGTTACTAGACACTGTGACTAGACATTACATAGATGTAATAAGAACCCCACACACCTGGCCTCATCTAAGTGAAGACTAGTTCCCTCATAGGAACTTTATGGAAGAAGAGTAAGCGAAGTCTTAGGCAGGTATAATGAAAATTCCACTCGACAGCCCATCTCCAGAAAACTCATGAAAGAGCCTTTTACCATGCTACCTAAAACATTGCTATATCAAATATAGAATGTTCACTAATGCATCACATATTTAGTGCAAAACAAAAAAAACAACCAAGCCTGGAAATTTCCAACCATATATTTATTGGGAGGTTAAAAATACACGCAGGTAAACATAAACCACTTGCCCTCCAGAGGATTTACCCCCCTTCCTGAACAGGCCATTTTTTTCATACGGCACTGCTTTACTTTAACAGCTTCCTGACCGCCTTATAGCAGATACACTGCTACAGGGCAGCATGGGTGCACAAAATCACATATATATATACACATGATTTTACATTTCCGGGTAGGGGGCGCGCATGAGGCGCACATGCACCCTACCCGCGCCGCCATTCGCGGCTGCGGCTGTCAATCACCTGGTCCTGGCCTGTGATAACTCGCTGGCGCCTGGTGATTGCCAAGCATCTCCGATAGGGAGGACATCTGTTTGTAAAAAAAACTGTTCTCCTCCCTGTCAGCTCATGCACACTGCTTTGCATGGCCTGCTTTCCTTTCCCAGAATGAAGGAGGTTTTTTTTTTTACCAAGGCTAAATAGTCTCTAGTTTCTGTAAAACAGTAAATGCCATGCAAAGCAGTGTGCTTATAGTGAAGCACACGGACACAGCACTATGTAATACAGCACACAGTTATCCCTTTGATTGCCCCACATGTTAACCCCTTCCTACGCAGTGCCATTAGTACAGTGTCAGTGCTTTTTTTTTTTTTAGCACTGATCACTGTATTGGTGTCACTAGGGATGTCAGTTCCCCTCAGTGTCAGAATTCCCGCTGCAGTCCCGCAGTCCTGCTATAAGTCGCTGATAGCCGCCATTACTAGTAAAAATTAATTTACATGTATTGTGATTTTTTTTAGCAAAGACATGTAGCAGAATACATTTTGGCCTAAATTTATGACAAAATTTTTATATTTTAAACATTTTTTTTACTGGACATGTTTAATAGCAAAAAGTCCAAAATATTGTTTTTTCTCAAAATTGTCAGTCATTTTTTTTTTTTTTTGCAAAAAATAAAAACCACACAGGCAATCAAATACCACCGAAAGAAAGCTCAATTCATGAGGAAAAAAGGAAGTAAACTTCATTTGTGTGCAGCGTTGCATGACCGTGCAGTTGTCAGTTGAAGTAACGCAGTGCCGTACCACAAAAAAATGGCCTGGTCAGGAAGGGGGATAAATCCTCAGGAGGGCAAGTGGTTAACCAACAATTGCACGGTCATGCAATGTTGTACATAAATTAAATTTATGTCCTTTTTTCCCCCCAAAATAGAGATTTCTTTTTGTGCTATTTAATCACCTTTTTATTTTTTTGCGCTATAAACAAAAAAAGACTGACAATTTTGAAAAACAAAACAATATTTTTGACTTTTTGCTATTAAACATATCCAGTAAAAAAAAAAATTTTAAATAAAATTTCTTCATAAATTTAGGCCAAAATGTATTCTGCTACATGTCTTTGCCAAAAATAAATCCCAATACGTGTAAATTAATTAGTTTACGTGAAAGTTATAGCGTCTACAAATGGCAGTATATATACAGGAATATTTTTATGTTGCTAGTAATAGCAGCGATCAGTGACTTATTGTGGGACTGCGGGACTGCGGCGCGCATTCTGACACTGGGTGGGAACTGACTAACTGTCACTGACATCACCAGTGACACTAATACAGTGATCAATGTTAATAAAAAGCACTGACACTGTACTAATGGCACTGGGCAGGAAGGGGTTAACATCTGGGGTGATCAAAGGGTTAACTGTGTGCTGTGTGTGTTTTACAAGGGAATCAGGCTGCTTTGTATTGCTCTGCTGTGCTATATAGGGCGGTCGGGAAGCGGTTGATAAAAAAAAACTTATTGGGTAAATATGAGAAATTCTTACAGGTATTGCAACTCTGGATAGGCTATATACACCCAGCAGGCCTTGACCAAAATCATCTCCAAAATTGACCATTCATACTTCTGCCTGTGGCCATACAAACATATTCCTGCAGGTGAGGTCCAGGACAGATCCCCACCTATCTTAATGTGCCCTAAATCTTCCACGTACTTCCTTTTTTTCTCTCTTCTCACTACTGCTCATCTGACTTCTTCTTATTCCTTTCCTCTGTTTCCCACAACCCTCTCTTTGTACTACTGTGCAACAAACAGAAGGGTGAATGAACGTGCATTAGGCTCAATTAACTAAGCTGTAAAGTATGTGTTTTGGGGATAATGATCATTTTTAACCTGACCCTTTTTTCAGTTTTCCTTAACTCTCATTGCTGAAAAATAAAAAAATAAATAATAAACAAATAATGACTATCTTAGTGAATTGAGCCTGTCTTTTTCTAGGCATTAGCACTTTCACAGATGACTCTCCTTCATGATAAGCAATGTCAGCAGCAGCCCCAGACTCAAAGCACCCCTATTATGGTATTTCCAGTCACCATCCCTTTTTTAATCCCTGTTTAAGCCTTAGAGGAAACAATAATATATAAAATAGTAAATCCTGACTGTAAGTACAAACATATACAATGGAAAAAAACAAGCTTTCCTTTTCTCTCTAATGCTGGCCATATACTGATTTTTTTTGTTTATTCAGCCATTTCTCCATCCAAGCTATACAGTGCAGGTGGAAGAATCTCCCACTGTTCCTATTGTATTTTTCCTGAAAATTACTGTTGCACGCTGATTTATTTATTACAGGTACTTATATAGCGCTGCCAATTTACGCAGCGCTTTACATATATATTGTACATTCACATCAGTCCCTAATACAATCCCTAACTTACATTCATACATACACATACTAGGGCAAATTTAGACAGGAGTCAATTAACCTACCAGCATGTCTTTGGAGTGTGGGAGGAAACCAGAGTACCTGGAGGAAACCCATGCAGGCACAGGGAGAACATGCAAACTCCAGGCAGGTGGTGCCGTGGTTAGGATTCGAACCAACAACCCTAGTGCTGCTAGGCGGAAGTGCTAACCATTTAGCCAGTGTGCTGCCCCAATTGATTGAATTCAGCCACTTTTTGTCTGCGAATTTTCCACTCAGCTCCTATAATTTTTCAATTCAGGGATGTCTGACAGGAGATGGCCAAAAGGGCAACCGACTAAGCGAATTTAATTTGTTTTGCCTGAAAATTTGTACAGGGTATAGCTAGATATAGGTGGGGTTAGTTTCTGACAATTCAACGCACTTCCAGTAGTCATCAGGGTAAATCTTCAGGATTGTGTTTTGAGATTTGTTTGTGTACCTTAGAATTTAATTATTTTTCTTGATCTAGCTTCTATGTATAATGCCACAATATGCATGTATTTGGCCTAGGTAGAGTCTTTTACATTTTGCTTCCTTCAGTTCAGGACTAGAAAGAAAAATTGTAAAAATATTTTTTCACTCTGGTACATATGAAATATTGCATATTAATAAAATTCATATTTATTTCCAGCCAGCAGGTGGAACAATAGGCTCCTTTTTTACATTTACCTGTCAATTCTTAGCTTTTCTTTTGAAAAGAAAGCTCAACAGCTGAAATGTACAGACACAACTGAACAAGTCAGGGGAGTCATTCATTCCTCTCACTCCCCACTTGCTCTGTTCAGATTAGGTGCATGTCAAGAAAGATTGTCTGAAGGCAAACAGCTTCTGTGTTCATTCTTTTGAAAACAACAGGTTCTTGGGTGCACCCTGCATGTAATGTTTTTCTGTAAATAAAATGTATACAAATACCAAAAATAAAATATATCAAATATTGTTTTAAACATTTTTAAACTTTAAGAAGTAATTCACTGACCTAAAAACTGGTATACTTTTCCTTTATATCATGAGACAATTTTGCAGACACTATTTCAGATTCCAATTGCTGTGGGTAAATCTACCATTGCACAATGTTCTTAACGCAGGCTGATCTGACAATGATGTTCTGCATGTACAAGTTTTGTGACACCTCATCAGCTTAGCTTTGTGACAACACCTCATTAGTTTCAGAAGCCGCAGACTTCCTTCCTAGAGTTGCTATTTTCAGATGTGTCTGTGTAATTATCGAAGTTTTTTTCAAGGTACACAAAAACACAAATTGTAACAAGGATAATAACCAGTAATACCAAATATCAGTGAGCCAACATCAGAAACAGGGAGAGAGGCAATGAAAGAAAATGATAATCAGATATGCATGAAGTAGACGGAAAGATGAAAGAGACTGAGAAGCCATAGAAGCAATATACAAATAGCTATGTGGCGACCCATTAGCTCTAATGACAGCTAGAAAGTTACCATGTGGTTACCTTCAAAGAAAGAAATTTCCCTTTCCTCAGTTGCTACGGTTTTAGGAGCATGCATAAGGAGCTTCACAAATAAAATTAGTTTAAACACTTACTTTGGACCAGCTTGACTCAAAGGAATTATGCAGATGCCACCTCCATGTGGCTGACAGTGAAGCTGTAATTCAGTGTTGTAGCCTATGCTATGTACAACAAGTGGCATCCTCTTCCAACAGGTGCTTGAGCGACTTTCTCTCTGTGCACTAAAGTTAGTGTCTCCCAAACTCACACCTATGCCACTGTGGAGAAGCCTTGTATCGGTTTCAATGAATGCAAGGCATTTACTATTTGACCAAAACGGAGTCTCCACCTTGGCCAATCAAACATCTTGTGTTCATTGTAAAATATACAAAGCTTCTCTTGAGTGGTAGAGGTGCAGGCGTGAGTGATGCTTAGGTTTACTGTACAGTGGGGAATTCACTTGAGCATCCATCAGAAGAGGACATACTGTATGTAGCATAGTCTACAAC